ACCTTGGCTACTTCAGATAGAGCCGAAGATTGAAATCATTCACACCCACGCAAAGAACGAAGAAAAAAAAGGTAGAAAATCATTCACAATAAGATCACGAGCTCAAAAGAAAAATTACCTCAATTAGGGAAGGGGGAAAGCTCTGATAGAGACGAAGTGAGGGAGACGAAGAAGAAACGACGGAGATGAACTTTCTGGTTATGAGGGAGAGACCGGGATGAAGACTGGGATGGACAACGAGATAGTGAATGAGGGAGGGGAAGGACCGAGATAGGGAGGGAAAGGAGGGGAGGGCTGGGTTTGATTTCTTTTTTTAAATTGAGGGTAACTTGGTAATTTTACCAAGCAAAATAAGGGGAGGGGTCAGAAATCTGAGGTGGAGGGGTCATAAATAGGTAAAAATCAAAAGGGGGTCAAAAGTTCAAAGTAGTTATTGGAATGGGTCAAAAATCTCAATTTCCCTGTTGTTTGACATTAAGCCATCAACCGTACAATAAAAGGTTGGGAGAGGTCTTGTGCGGTCCATTGGATCGTCAATCCATCTTTGGGCACCATATTGAGCTACCCCCAATGGTATTACTTTAGGTCTCATCATAGTGCGGATTTCAATCATGGGAATCCACTTATCTTTTTGTACATCCATTGGTCCCATTACAGAGCGGAATATAGTGTGGGAGTTGACTTTGACCGCTCCCTTAACTTTTCAATGATCTATTCACACTGTCACCAAAAGCTATAAATAGAAAGGGCCTCAGACCTTCAAGATATGTCATCTTCCTCTCAAGCCACCTTAAGTCTCCCCTTAAGTTCATATACTAATTTAAGTATTAAAGTGTGATAGGTCGACATCACGCCGGCATCACTCACCTTCTCTTTTTGCAGGTCGATTTCGCCTCAACATCCAAAGTCAATATCTCGTGAATACTATCAACTCTCACAGTAGTCCAAACAACAAGATCTTTGTTCACAACCTACTGGGTCTCAACTTCTCCTAGCTAGACCTAACCTCTCATTGATCGCTCAATGGTCAATCCGATTCACCGACTCCCGGTTCGACCAACTTACGAAGAATTGGATCAACAATATATTTTTTAATTTAAAGTTGTTTGGAATAAAATTAAGATAGATAAATCTTGATTCGTAACTAACTTCAGTTGAAAGTAAAAGGCGAGCATAACTCAACGATAATTGACATGTATCTCTAATCAATAGATTATGAGTTTGATCCCCACCCCACATGTTGTACCAAAAAAAAATTAATAATAAAATAACTTAGGTTGAAATATTTGGATTATATTTATAATTTTGTAAGTTTTGCCATGGATAAATAAAGGCTCAAGAAAAAAAAATAGTTGAAAATGAGAATTAATTTTATCAAATTATAGGAATGGAATCAAGGTGTGGGACACATTCCTCCTTTATACGTTATGGATTTCATTCTGGTTCTGAGGTTCCACATATTTATTATAATTAATTTATAATTTTTAAATATAATTAATTTACAATTTTTAAATATAATTAATTTACAATTTTTATTCTCTCATCACTGAGTTATTAATTATTTTATACTTTTATTATTTATTTTTCATCTATACTATTAATAATTTAGTTGATGTGACTTTATTATAAAATATTATAATTTATTTTTAGTTTTTTAATTTTACTTTGTTGTTATTATAGATTCTTAAAAAAACTAATTATTATTGAAAATTAAAATAATATTTTATAGTTGTTATAATAAAAAAATTTTCAGTTGATGCATTGTTTACTAATTTTATTTTTAATTATCCATTATTTACTAGTATTAAATAAATTGTTATAATAAAAAAAATACTATCAATAAGAAATTAAATTAAAAGCTATTACAATTAAAAAATTAATATTTGTAGCGGGAAATGGTATCCTAACGATTGTTATATATCATTCCAATTACATATCGTTTTAATAAAAAATATTAAAGTAATTCTGACTTTGATTCTATAAAATTTATAGTAAACAAAATAACGTTCACCTTCTAATTGATTTTAGGACAAAATACATTTTTGATCCATGAGCTTTGAAGCAAGTGTCTATTTAGTTCTGAATTTCAAAATAAACACTTTTTAGTCTTTGAAGTTTACAAAATGGTCCTCCGACCACAATACAAGTCATGAGCGATAGCGTTAGTGGACTAACTCTTTTTAGCCGAGTAGGAATTTATATTAATTTAATAATCTTTTTTTTTAACGGTGGGTATACTTTTCATCTCCTTGTTCTTCTCTTTCTCGGTGAATTTCGTCGCCCGCCACCTCTTCCCCGCCGTTTGAAATGCCTTTACAAGGAGATGGGCTTGGCTTCAGCAAGCCTTGATTTCTCCAACTCGGCAGAAGCCTTTCCCTTGTTCAGAAAAATCTTTGAGATTCAACATAGTCATCTTCCTCTTCCATGTTCTTTTCGTCCTTCATTTGTTCATCCATCTCAAAATCCATTCTCTGCACCAAATGAGTGTAAGAAATCCAATCACAAAGCACGTAGCAGCTAATTCTAGCCCTAGAAATCGTGAAATTTCCTATCCCAGGGAAGTATTCCACACATGTAATAGTCACAAATTTCCAAACGACAAAACCCAAATGCAGATAACAATACAAACAAGAACAAGCCTCTCGAATTGGATTCCTCAAGATTACGAATAAGGTCTTCGAAATGCAATTCCCTTTTCAGTTCGAGCAACCCAAAAACAGATTTGGAGTCGAATAATGTAAACGAAGAGCTTCATTGACAAATGACCCGATCATAAGAAACCACAAACAGTACCAGAAGGGAAAAAAAAAAGAAGCTATAATTTACTGTAACCTTTTACAGGGGAGCAGATCACTCCTCTTCTTCTTCGTTCTCAGGAGCCGCACAAGAATCAAACGGATAAAGTGATATAAATAACCGAGACACGAGCTTGGTGGGTGAAACTTTCAGATCTGAAAGGGTTTCCTGTTCCAGATCTGGGATGGGGGGCGAGCGAGAAGGCAGATGATACCGAACGCTGGTGCGGCAGCGAGGAGGCGAGCAATGGGCGATGGCGGCGAGGAGGTGGCCAACGGCGAAGTTCATCGGAAAGGAGAGGAGGAGAAAAAAATGGGACGGAGATGAAAAGTCTCATAAAAATATTATTAAATTCCTTTGCAAAAAAAAATATATTATTAAATTAATAAAAATTTCCTAATTAACTATATAGTCAACCATTTAACAGTCACATCATTTAACAGCCAATGTGAGCATAATTATACTCATTCTTCGAGATCACAAGTTCAATTCCCCAGATCCAAAAATTATTGTACTAAAAAAATCGTTAACATTTTTTTATAACTTTTTAGTTAATAGAAATAAAAAGTTAAATCAAAATAATAAAAATGATTACTAAAAACTAAATTCATTAATCATTATTAACCATCATAGACTCCGCTAGACACTGATCACGAAGAGATCATAGTTGTCTATACTATTTTGGTCTATGTACTTTTAAAATGCTTATTTTGATCATTCTACTTTGAACTTTTTCCCATCTTAGCCCATTTACTTTTGAAATGTTTTCATACTAGTCTTTAAATTTGACCTTTTAATCTATTCACTTTCTTTTTTATCTCATGTTTTTAATTAGAATTTCAACGTGATACCATAACTAAATACATTTTTTGAAATGTGCAATCATGACTTTGTTCCTGTCGTGTATAATAAATTTGCAAACAATGATCAAGAAAGACGTAAATTAAAATGAATAAAAGTTGAAAGTAGAAGAACCATAGTAGTTACACACCTATCTTATAAATACTTTTTTAATAATTAAACTTAATATATACGAGTCTACGACATAATAAAATAGGCATATATCACTCCCAAATCCAAGCACATTTAAAAGACTAGTATTTAATAAACGTTCCTAAAAATATCTCAGATCTCAACCCTTCCACCTGGCTATTAACCAATGACAACAAATCTGCTAAAAAAAAAAAAACAGGAAGAAGAAGAAGAAAAAAGAATAGGCAAATTTTGGATATTTCTTATTATGACAAATGAAAGAAAGAAGTATGATTATGTTGATTGAGCATGTTTTAGTTTTACCCTGTTTTATCAACAGCACCTTTATGGATTTTGGCACAGTATTCAAATAGGCTGCCATCGAAGCAACGCCTCACAGCTTCCTTTGATAAGAACCCATTTTCGTCCTTCGCAAGAACATATAGAGCTCCCCACTCCAGTTTACTTGCAAACCTACAACAACAATAATACCTCATAATATTATATAACAAACTTTATATCCTACTCAGAAGAAAAAAAAATTAAATATATTATTTAGTTACTCATGCTTGAGTGTTTTTCTTTAATAATTTAATTCTACTTCGTCATTGTTAAAATTGGTTGATGATAAACTTACCTGACATAATACATATGGATTAGATCGTTAAAAATTTAGAAGAGGATCGAAATAAAACCACGTGAGAGAGGAAGGTTTCTTACCTCAGCAATTTTTTAAGAAATTTTGAATTCTCCCTTTTCAAATGACCTAATTTATATTTTAAATTTTATGTCAAATCCTATCATGTCAGGTAAGTTTATCATCAACCAATTCTATATATTCACCGCTATAATTGAGAATGTTAAAAAGATAAAGAATTAAATTAAAAATTTGTAGCAATAGAAATTAAGTTGAAAAATACTCAAATATTAGAGATTATTAAAAGATATAGTGAGGTTGTTAGGAGAGATACCAGCCAAAGAAATCCAAAGCATCACGGTTAGCCTGGGTCATGTGCCAGATCTCTCTCAATGTAAGCTTATCAGCCGAAGTACGGGCATATTTGCTGAATATATTCTCAAGTTGTGCTGGAACAAATCTGCACAAACAGAACAATTAACTATAACTAATTTCATCATACTGAACCTATCTAACTGAAGTTGTTTGGTTTGGAATTTAACCTGCCAAGATGAGTAATTCGAGCAAAGGCTAAAAGAAAAAATTAATCACTTTTGAGGTTTTCATAGGAGTTTTAGTACAAAATGTGGGGTGGGGTTGAACTCAAAGCATCTTGATTTGAGATATATGCGAACTATTTTTGAATTATGTTCGCTTTGACAATTGTTTAAGAATTAGGAGTCGAGATGAATATAAACTTTGAGGTGTTTTTTTTTGTTTGACTTATCTTTTAGAATGATGGGATTATGAATTATAATCAATCATTTGACTGGTTTCAAATGTACAATAATTTTTAACTATTACAAAATCACTCAAAAAATTGTTCTTAAAATAGTTTTGGATTAAAAGAAGGAAAGATTTGTGTTTTAAGATAATGGTAAAAAATTAATCTCTATTTGACATTTCAAGTTTGATAAATTTTAATCTTTTAGAAAACAAATAATATATACTTTTTTTTTCCAAATAAAATATATATAACACTATTTTCTCACCTTCCTTCAGTGTCATAGGTTCCTGAATCACTTCCATGCTTTGCCCTGTGGATGTTTCGTACATGTATTGGGAAGAAAGGTGAAGGTATCCATGTCTGCCGAGAAAACACCATGGATGGAGAGATATGAACAACTTTAGCTAAAAAATAACCTTGTAAGTGGTTATTTGGTCGTCCATATCTATACATAGAGTGATTCAAAGGACGGTTGAATTACAAGTATGGTCTCTAAATTTTCAAATTCATCTAACAAGTCCTTGAATTTTAATAGGTGCGTATAATAGATCTTTAAGCTTCCAAATTTACGTGTAATAAATTATTGATATGTGTCTAATATGTCCGAATAAAAAGATACTACAATAAACTAGGAATATTTATAATTAGATATAGATTAAAAGTTCAACAACCTATTAGATAATTTTAAAAATTTAAAAATATATTAGATACAATTTTAAAAGTCCAAAGGTAGACTAGTTATAGAGATGGTAATATGCAAAAAGTTGATTGCTTACGGGGAGGGTAGCATAACTCAGTGCTGCATGAATAAAAACCATAAAGAAGAAAGATACGATGGCATTGAATCCCAGTGCTCGAAATCCTGAGAACATAGAGGGAATTATCCTTTGTAAATGTTATGGTTTCATTTTCTTACAAACCAAAGCTTCCAAATTATAAACGTAAAGATATAAATGTGGTAAATTATAGGAGGTACATAGAAAGCTATACACAATAATATCACTATATATAATATTAACTAGGTAGAGATGGGTCGAATTATATATTGACCTTTAGAATAACTTTAGAATAATAATAGGGTATCTTACTACACAAAAACTTGCTTATTTATCTTATTATGCGGTCTTTCTTTTATTTTTGGTTAAAAAATACTTTTCATCTATATACTTTCGCTATAGTAACAGTTTAGTCTCTGAATTTTAGTTCGTAACGATTTAGTTCATATACTTTTTAATTGGTAACAATTTAGTCCTTAAACTTTAATATGTAACAATTTAATCATTGTAATTTAAAGTTGGTAACGATTTAGTCCTTATCGTGAAATTTTTTTTGTTAAATTTCTTATATATATAGATTGATAAATTATAGAAGGACCAAATTGTTATATAATAAAATTTGAAACTTAATTTAAATAAAATCTAAATTGTTACTTTAATAAAAGTACATGAACTAAATTGTTACAAACTAAAGTTCATGGACTAAATTAGTCCCATGACCAAATTTGTTTTTTAATTATCAGTGACAAATAAGCTAATCTTATTAACATCTTTTATTTAATGAAAATAATTACATATAAGAAAACGGTGCTCTTCCTTCTTAGTGTGGATTTGTTTGTTTGTTTCTTATTTATTTATTTATTTTGGGATAATTTGGGCGAAGGTAAGTTCTTTTGATGGCTCATATTATTTAATGCTATTATTTATTTATTTGTGCATTATGCTCAAAAGGATCTCAATCTATAGTTTTCAAGGGGAAAAAGGCTTTAAAAGATTGGGATGCAAGAAAGCTTCAATATCTCTAAAGAATTAAAATAATTTGTACAATAGAAAAGACAAAATACTGAGAGATTTGTAAATAAAAGAAAATGGATTTACGTGTTTGTCAAGCAGATCATCCCACAAGTTTCTAAATTAATATCATCAATGAAACATTAAAAGTATATATATATACACATACATACATGTAAGATTTTGGCTTAAATAAGTGTTTTTACAATTTAGGCCTTACTGTTTACAAAGCTTCAAATTAATTCCTTTCATTTTAACCTTTTTTTTATTATTATATTTAGTGAGTTGGCATAATTTAAAGAAGAAACTCGAACAACATCATAGATAAAAGTTTTGTAATTTCTTCTTCAAATTTAGAAAAAGTTGGTACAAATTTCTCATTTTCTTTTATTAGATGACTTTACGCATCTTTTAATATTCGGTAACTTTACCATATTATATAAAAAATAGACTTGCCAAAATGAAGCCACTATTTCTTCAAATGTAATTTATTGCTGTGTTTGTAATTTATAACAGTGTTAATTCTTTAGTAAAGTAATATTTAGCTTAAAAACAACCATCAATCAATATTAATATTTATTAACAAAAATAATATAATTGAAAAATGTTAAGTGACAAGGGATTGAATTAAAAAATTTTAAACAATCTGATCATATTTAAACAGCACAGTAGTAATAATCAAGAGATGGTGAGTTCGGATCTCCTACTCAACATGTTTTTATATTTTTTATATTGTTATTGTTTTCTTGAAAAATATAAAAAAAAAATGAAAAATGTATAATTTTTATAATAGAAAATTAAAAACAGAATCACTATCAAACCTGCTGTTAATTTTCATAATTTTTCGAAGAACATTCATAAAATAGAGATGTGAATATTTTTACTACATTCTAACCTTTGATCGCAACCATTCATCGGCCTCTTCCAGTAAGGGGTGAAAGGGCGAAGAGGCGTACCTCGGTAAGTATCCCAAGGGCGGATGATGCCGTCGTTGTCTTGATCAAAGAAGGCTGCGTGCTGTTGAAGCACTGACATTCCATTGTGTTTGTGGCCCCAAGTTCCATTGATGTTCTCCGAATCAGGTGCCGTCAAAGCTCTCGCTAAATCTGCAAAACACACAGAAAACACCATCTCAAAAATTAGAGGTACGAAGAACATTCAAATTTCAAGAATCAGTATCAGTATTCTAATTATTCCACCAAATCTGAAACTATAAATGTGAAATGAAAATCAAACAATTGCCGAAGATCGTTCGATAACTTCCATTACGTTGACGAAAAAAGAATAGGTATCGATTAAGATCCTTTCGTTACTTCCTATTACGTTGATAAACACTGAATAGGTATGAATCTGAATCTGGTGCCGATACTTGATTAAGATCGTTTCGTTACTTCCGATTACGTTGATAAACAGAGAGAACAGAGATGAATCTGAATTTGTGCCGATACTTTATTAAGATCGTTTCGTTACTTCCGATTACGTTGATAAACAGAGAGAACGGAGATGAATTTGAATTTGTGCCGGTACTTCATTAAGATCGTTTCGTTACTTCCGATTACGGTGATAAACAGAGAGACTAGAGATGAATCTGAATCTGTGCCGATACTTGATTAATATCGTTTCATTTCGTTTCGATTACGTTGGTAAACTGAGAAAATAGAGATGAATCTCAATTTCAATTTTCACTCACATGGCTTTGGGAGCTTCGTCTCGAGATCGTTTCGAACCTTCCGCTCTGCAGTGACTTGTGCCTTATCGGCCACCGTAGCCATGGCCTCCGCCGACGCCTCTGTTGCCATTCTTCCCTCTCCCTGCAATTTTTTCTTCGTGAAATCTGCAGTTAATGCGCTCGCTAATTACAATGGAGGAAAGCGATCGAAGAGGTTTAGAGAAAGAGTGAAGTAACGAATTGCAGGTCACTCGGATGCGGAGCCAACGGTTGAAGTTACACGTGTGTTGCGTCTCATCTCATCAAATAATACCATTTTCACCTTATTATCTTACAAACTAATGTTATTTACATATTTTAATGGTAACATTTAATTAAACTCATTAGTAAATGTTTTTTTTTAATATAGCAAGATATAATTTTATTTTTTTCTTTTTTTTCTCGCAGATGTTATGTATGAACTCACATTGTAAGATTAATGTGCATGAGATCGAAAAGAAAAGTAACTCGAGTTATGAAAATAACTCTCAATCAGACTTCATCAAAATTCGGCATATAGATTGAGCATTATATTGTCAAGTGATAGCACAAGCACGAGCATTATTTTTTAACAAGATGTAACTGAAGTCGAACGATAGGCATCATCATGGATTGTGAAATTGTTAAACATATTATCCCATACAAATTTGTTAAGAGGGGGTTCTATGTCTCAAACTAGAAGAAATGAAACAAGAATTGGAGTATAAAACACCAAAAATGTATACAATCACGAGTCGACATATGATCATGAGTAGCTAACCAACTCAAGAGAGAGCAAAGGTTTAGGGATACACCCAGCATACCAAATCACATGATGTCAAGACACTTTGGGATCCCCAGGGACAAGGGACATCTCAAGTACTCGAAATAAAGAACAACCTCAACGTCAATGGAGTCCAAATGAACTTGTCCTCAATCTCTAATGTGGTTTAAATTGAAGGAAATTTTGCTCTTTATAATTTCTTTTAATGATTAAAAATAGCATTTTAATTGTCGATCTAGATTAGCTTAACTAATTAAGACGTGTATTACTGAAATAGTACCTTAATTTAACACGTATCTAAATTCAAGTATTAAGTTCCTTTCTCAACCAAAACTCATTTTTCTTTATTTTTCCAAAGAGGGATGTATATTCAAGTGTTACGTTCATTTCTCAGCTAAAATCGTTCCTTAAGTTTTAAAGAGTTTATAATTTATCTATTTCTTTTGAACCATAATTTATTTTGATTACGTGAGACAAGTCACATTTATTTTCGAAATCATTACTTTTTTTTGGTAAACTTTAAGATGTTAAGATTATTTTTATTTTAAATTCCCAACTACTAAAGATTGGTTGAATATTTCTCAAAAATAAATAATAATAATAATAATGTTGATTGAATATCAGTGACCTTTTTTTTTCTCTTTTAATTTCAACCACATATAATTTGTAACGTTAGATTCTTATTCATTCTCGTAAATGGTAAAAATGTTTTGTAACTTTTAATGGAATGAATTAAACAATAGTGAATTTTTTAAAAAAATTAAATTGTAACTAAAGTTGAAAGTAAGGAGTAAAAATGAAAATCTTAATCCCACAATTCTTTAGTTCCTGATTAAATCATTTTTTTTGGTTGATTCCATTTGTCTTTTTTCATTTTTTAGGATTATTTGTTTGGTCCCCGCAAAATATCTATTCTAAGACTTTGATCTCCAAAATTTTTAAGAATTTTAGTCCATAAACGTTCAAAAAATAATATTTTTAGTTCTTCATATAATTTTGCCACCTACTATCTACTCACACTGTACTTACATCGACCAACTTACGTGGCTTCCATATAACACTAAAGTTAGTGCAGCATACATACTTGAAGTCACGTTATCTATTTATTTATAGCAAAATAAATGTTAGGACCAATATTATTATATTATTATAAAAAATAAAAGTAACAGAACATTTTAAAAAAGTAAATTTAATAGAAAATATAAATCTAATAAACGTTAGTAAAATTTTGGCTTGAAAAAATGGTTTTTTTTTCTCAACCTCCATACGAATTTTGGTCCAATGCACCAAGTCCGTTGGCTAGACCATAGGCTTAACTATTGGAGGTTGGATCGAGCTGGATTTGTTTGGGCCGAAACAATATCTTATGTCTGTTAGGTATGGGCCAAGGCCGAGCTTGGGCTCGTAGTGGCCCAACTCGACCTAATGATGAGGTTGAGGCTCATTAGCATCGTGTACGAAGTCACGTCATTTATTAAAAGTAAAATAAATGTACATACCACGTTCATTTTAAAAGTTCAACGGCAAAAATGGAATGATTTTAGAAGTTTAGAAACTAAAATTAAAATTTAAAAATTTGAAGGTTAAAATATAATATTATTGAGATTTAAAGGTAAAAATGATATTAATTTTTTTTATGTTAAATTACAAGTTTATTTTTTAAATTATGGGAGTTGAGTTTAATAAGTCTTTTAACTTTTAAAGGTATCTAATAAGTTCTTAAAATTAAAATAATAAGTTAATATATTTTTAGTTGATTTATAAACTTTAAATCATATTTCATAAATCAAATTTCTATTGTACAAAATTTAAAGTTAAAAATTTATTAAATAAAAAATTAAAATTTTAAAAGCATTTTAGACACCTTTCAGTTCATTAAACATACAATGTAGGGATGTGTTTAGATAATTTCTAAAATTCAGTTACTAACTAGATACATCTATAATATTAAATTTTTATCCATCAACGTTTTCATATATCTATATGGGTTCGACATAATAGATAACAAAATATAAAAAACTAATAAAATATCAGTAATATGAACACAATTTAATATAAATATATTTTTTTAGTATAACTAATATGGATAGATTCAAAGTTAGGAGTTAAGTGATTGGATTTTTTTTAATAATGCTTTATTTCAAACTTATTCCAAATATATATCAACCATAAACTATTTACAAGAATAATGTTTGAAAATTTATAAGTCATCTATTGCCACTTCACTAGCGCCATGTTTTTTTTTTCTTTTTTTTTTTTTAAATCATGGCATGTCGTCTCTTAAGAAAGGATATGTGCCTAAATTGTACGACCCCACCACTTTGGTAGTAGTTGTATACATGTTTTATAATTTAGAGGTTATGAGTTCAAGTTTCTATTGTATCATTTTTTATTTTTTATTCCATTGGCATATTAAAATTATTTTATCTTTTAAACAAATTTAAATAAATGTTACCTTTTAGATTTATCTTATTTTCTAAAATAAAATAACTATTAATTCTAAAAAATTTAAAATAATTACTATTAAAAGAATATATTATTAAGAAAAATATAATGATGTGTTTTTATTAAATACTATAATTACCCTATTAATATAATTCATTTCATTTACTTATAGTAGAGTGCTAGAATTATACAATTGAAGTACCTTGAGACGACATGCCATAATAAAAAAAAATACATTGACACCATGCAATTCGAAAATTATGGTGTAGCATAGGTCGTCTTTTAGGAAGAAGACCTATAATTTTCCCAGAATTATTTTTGGAAATAATTTGAGAAATAATCTTTTTAAGAAATATCTATATTTTCTTTGATGTAATTTGTAGGCCATGGGAGTTCTGTTTTCAAAGGGCCGGTTCGGTTTGAAATTATGAAACCGGGCGAATCGAGGAGCAATTCGCTTTCGCTGTGCTGCTGTTTCATTTGAACAACGTTTTAACTTCGTTACCATCTCTCTTCTACTTAGGGCTCCATTGCAGGTGCTCTCTGCTTCCAATTTTCTCAATCCTCACCTCAAATCCCCACTTCCACTTCCCCATACTTTGTTTTTCATCTCCATCAATGGGCAAAGCGGTGATATCCGACGAAGAAGGTCGGGCCTCGACTTTATTCCTTCAATTTTGGCTGTTCAAACGTCTCGGAATTTGTGTATTTATTGCATTATTCCCTCTTTTCTCACTGTGATGTTTCTGTAGATGAGGTTGAATTGGACGACCGGGAACCGCTTGACGGCGAGGACGTTGACAGGCATAACATGGAGGACGATGAAGACGAAGACGATGGTTTGTGTCAGAAATCGTTCGTTGTTTTTGTTCAGATTTGCATTTAGCTTCGTCGGATGTTTATGGGTTTTCTGTGGCCCGATTGGTAGTCAATGTGTCAGTTTTGTTGTTTTTTTCTTTCTTTTTCTTTTCCCATTTATCTTCGGAAGAGTGTAATATTGCCCACTTCTTCCTTCTCCCGTTCGTTTATAGAGGACGAGAAACTGTCACAATTCTTGAAGTTATGGGCAGACTTATTGTGACGATTAAGGATTAAACCGAAGGGTGTGGCATATTCGTAACTCATTAGGGCATGTGACATATCCTATGAGTTTCACGAGTCTGTGATTATCAACTGTTTAGGTCTTGCAATAGCTACCAGTAGGCTGAAAGGATTTCTCAGGTTGAAGGAATTTGGATAAGAAACTATTTTCAAACATGCAGAGTATTCCTCCCTAGTCATGGATGACTTGGGGAGTGAATTGAAAGTTAATGGCGACCTTTCGTTTTTAAATGTGTTTTGGGAACGGTAGAGTTTAGAAAAGTAGCAGAAACTGTTTAACGACCATGATGAATCATAAAGTTTATAGTTACCTTTGGATGGATCTTCTGTTTACTCTGTGATGGCTGTTTTGTTTTGTGTCTATGTTGAACTCTCCTTTATTCTCTAAGATCAAGAGGTTAAAGGTGCGAAAGAAAATATCATTCTTTTACTGGCTTGTTGTCATGTCCTGAGGATTAATACCTTTGATTTTATCTTCAGAGCCTCTTATCTTTGGCTCCCATTGTTGTGTTCAATACAAGTGCACCCAAACCACCTTTTGTGGCTTTTCCCTTCTACTAAGCGTGACATTTCTGGCAGATGTTTGGTATTTACGGTTCAAGTTTCAGCTTTTGTTTGATGATGGAGGAAGTTGTATTGATCCTCGATTTTGGGATAGATAGTTGATTCTTATGGCAAGTTGGTTTCTTCACTACGTGGAGCATTTGATTGGAAAGAATCCAAATAGAGGGGTTAGATTGCATCACACCCCATAGCTCCTCCCACAGACTTTCACGGCCCCAAAAATTGCTTTTATGTGGTTATCCTTTTATAGATTTATGGA